TAATGAAAGGGAAGAGAGAGAATACATATATCATCTCTCCACATTTGAATGTAAGCAGTTTGTCCTTGTTTAGTTCTTTATCATAGTTCATTCATGCTTACTTTTTTATATCTTTGTTCATTTATGTTTGAATTTCAAAGTTTCTACACAGCTCTGTTTTTTTTTCCCATCAGGAAAAGATTAAAAGTCTCTTTCATTAAAGGTGCACTTTTCACATATTAGATTATACTCAGTTTTGCTGATTAACTAATTCTGGGATATAAGTCTTTATTCTATCTTTTAGAATATGGTATTTCAAGCTCTCCACTAATTCATACCAGTAATTGCTAAATCATGTGTGATCCTGACCATGTCTCCCCAATACTTGAATTCATTCTTTCTGGCCACTTACACTATTTTTCCTTTGTCCTAGAAGCTCTGGATTTGGACTGTAATGTTCTTGGGAGTTTCCACCTAGGAGTTAGAGGAAATGACCAATGTATTTCTTATATTTCCATTTTGCCCTCTGATTCCAAGAAATCTAGAGAGTTTTCTTTTAAGATTTCTTGAAATATGATGTTTAGGCTCTTGTTTTGCTCAAGGTGTTCAGGTGGTCCAATGATTCTTAAATTTTCTCTTCTCAATGTCTTTTTCATGTCAGTTCCTTCTGCTATTCAAATACCTTACAAAATTTCTTCTTTTTAAGTCTTCGGATGTTCTTTTTAATATTTCTTGCTTCATAGAGTCACTGGCTTCTATTTGGTCCATTCTAATTTGATTTTGGTCCCTGCTGTGCCAAGTTATTCATTCCTTGTATAATCCTTTCTTCATATCCCATTAATTTTCCAATTTTTTTCCTCTAGCATTCCCTTTTCATTGGTAAAAACATTTTAAAACCTTTAAAAAAAAACAGTTGCTTTATGCATCTGTTCCAGAAATTCTAATTGAATGTGTACCCACGTTGTGTTATTCTTTGAGGCTTTGCTTACAAATGCATTGGAAATCACTGTCTTCTCCTGGGTTCATGTCTTAACTGTCCTTGTCACCATAATAACTATTTATGGTAGGATTTGTTTTTTTATTTGTTCATCTTTCCAGCTGAGGTCCTGAAAACGAACCTCATATTAGAGCCAGGTTCTGGGTATTTGTGGAAGGAAGGTTTAGGGTATATTCCTGTTGCTGCTTTGGGTACTGAGTGGTGAGTTGTTTAAGTATTTCAGAAATAGCTCAGGCCCAAGACTTTGCAAGTTTTCAGAGGTTTCAAAGCAGTCTGAACCAGAACAAAGTCTCATTGCTGCCTCCGTGGTCTGAGATCTACAAGTTCGTGACCTACGTTTGGGTCTGAACAAAAGTAAACTGCTGCTGGACACAAGTCACTGTCAGCCAAATGGGAAGCTCCATTGGTTCAGAGTTACAGAACTACAAGGCTTCCCTTTGCTCTGGGATTCCTGCCCTGGTTATTTCTCTAGAAGCCCAAAGGATCCCTAGCTTCCTTTAAAACATGATTCTTTGCCTTTTTTGCGTTATGCATCCCTCACATAATGCCTTGATTTTTATTTATTTAAATTCTGGGGGGAGTTAAAGTTAACTGACTTCCCCTGGGTCACATAATGTCTGAGGGTGGATATGAACTCAGGTGTTTTTGACTCCAGGGCTGATACTCTACTCATTACACCACCTAGCCACCCCTCATAATGCTTTTAAATGCATAAAATAAAATACAGAGCATTTTAATTAAATTAAAATATAGCCTATGGACAAGAGGACTGCAATCACATGCAATCTAGCATCAGGTCCAACAGCTACAGTAATTTTGAAATAGTAATGATGGTAAACAATATTTCTAGATATCAGCAACAACTATAATACGTAATGAAAATATTTCAGTTGGTAATAATAAAGTCACAAGTACCACTAATACTACTTTAGCTTGTTACCTACGTTCATAATTGAAGGAAACAGAAGGAACAAGCATTTACTAAGCACCTTCTACCTATCAGACATAGTGCTAAGCATTTTACAAATATCTCATTTGATACTCACAATCACCCCAGGAATTTAGGTGCTATTATCCCCATTTTACAAATGAGGAAACAGAGACAGACAGAAGTGACTTAGCCAGGGTCACACAGATACTGTCTGAGGCCAGATATGAACTCTAATCTTCCTGGCTCAAGGCCCAGCATTCGACCCCTCATACCACTTAACTGCTAAATTTTAATTAGAGGTTAGTGAAAATAAAGATGTAATTTCCCCCCTGAAATCTATCCTCCATGGACTTGCGGGTTAAAAACACCCTGCCTGCTGTTAGTGCCCTCCTACAGAAAATTACTTGGCATATATTTTTTATTTAATTTTCTATAACCACATTGTATTCCCAGTCCCTATGATGTAGAATGCACTTGTTCGATAGTCTCTCCAAATGCTAAGTGGTCTAATTTCATCAGATCCTCATTTGTCAGTTATTAGTGTCAACAATATGCTCAGGGTTATGATCTAAAATAAGAATCCTTGAACTTTATATTTTCATCTTTTATTTTAAACTTCTGGCAGGAAAAAAAAAACACCTTATTAAACTAGTCAAAACTCATGAATATCTATCTTCTCCCTCCCTCTCCTTCCCCCCCTCCCTATTTTTCCCCATGCTGGAAGTAAAACGGGGCACTCATGGACTGGACTCCATCGCTTATCAGCAAGAAAGTTTTGAGCTACTCCCTCCCTTTCCACCCTAGGTAATTTTGCCTCTCTTTAGGCAGCAAATATCTGATTGGCTTTAACTATAGGCAGCTCAGAATTCATGAGATCAAATGATCTACCAGCCTCAGCCTCCTCCGGAAGCGGATAATGCAGGGATTACAGGCTTGTGCCACCATGACTGGCTATCTTTTTACTCCTATAAACAAGCTAAAGACTCTTTTTTTTTCAAATCAGTTTGCATTTCTACTAATAAGCAGAATTAATCATATCTATCAATGATTTAAAACATGCCTTCACATAAATGTAAAACATTCTCGGATAAGATCTAAGTGTTCTATTTTGGTAATTGCATTTCCATCTATCACATCACTTCACCTTTCATCTCAGAATGTTTTGCTCTCATACCTCTTAGCCCCGTTTTCACAATCTGTCTCACTACTCATGCTTCTGGCATGTGAAAAGAACATGAGATTTATCAGTTACTCATTTGCTACTTTTCTAAGGAACTTCTAACTTCATATCATTACTATACCTTTCATGTTTTCATGATTCCATGAGGTGTTTAATCAGAAGTATTTGGTTTGTACTAATATTTAACAAAAAATATATTCTAATTACAGAAGAAAATGTCCAAAATCAAGGACAACAGCTGGAGATAAACACTAATGTTAAGCAGAAAGGTAGTGATGTTTAAGAAAAGATTAATGTTTTAAGTAGTCAGTCAGTTGAGAAAATTCCTTTGTCTTAATGTTTTGTTTCCCTACACTAACTTGTGTGACCTCAACTCAGGAAGACCTAGGTTTAAGTCCCACCACCATCTGTCATATATTGGCTCTTTATCCCTGTGCAAATCAGCTGTAGAACTTTTTCTGATATGCACTGGTAAAGTAAATTTCTCAACAGGAAATCCCTAAACATATGGAACCATGATCTGGACGGAGAAAAAAATGCAACCGTCACAAGTACAGGCACTTGCATGATGAACAATGATAATGAAGCTTCTCTGTACATATTAAAGATGCTTTTATTTTCTAATATAATATAAAAGGAAATACAAGTTAAAGTCCTTTTAGAAAGACATAAGCAAAAAAAAAACAGTATTACTAAAAAATAAAAGTTTTATATTTTGTTTGATTAGTATATATTTTAAAAGTATACATAAATGAGCTAAATTAGCCTTAAAAAAATACGTACTGACTGCATTAAATAATAACTTACATTTATGTAGTACTCATTTTACAAAGAGTTTTACATAGAACATCCCTATGAGGTAACTGATGATGATGACCGCTAACATGTTCCAGCCACTGTGCTAAGCACTTTATAATTAATTATTATTTCATTTCATCTTTACAATTATCCTGGGAGGTAGATGCTATTATCATCCTTATTTTACAGATGAGGAAACTAAAGCAAACAGAGGTTAAGTAACTTGCCCAGGGTCACACAGCTAGTTAAGTGTCTGCAGCCACATTTGAATTCAGGTCTTCTTGACTCCAGGCTTAGCACTCTATCTACCATGCATCTAGCTGCCAGAACAAACATTATTCCCAGCACGGAGACAAGGAAACTGAAGTTGAAAAAAGGCAAGTGAGGGGCAGCCAGGTGGCACAGTGGATATAAGTCCGGCCTTGGAGTCAGGAGGGCCTGAGTTCAAATATGACCTCAGACACTTGACACTTATTAGCTGTGTGACCCTGGGCAAGTCACTTAACCCCTACTGCCTCACCAAAAAGCAAAAACAAACAAACCAAAAAAAAAAAAGATAAAGTGATTGCCCAAGGTCACTAAGAGTAAGTGGCAATACTAATACTCAAATACACTGGTCCACAAGGATACATTTACACTTTTAAAAGACAGCAATTCTGTATACCAGTCTGAGATAATACACAAAATATTAGAGGGAAAAAAGTTCCCAAAGGAAAAAAAAATTAATCCTTCTAGTGAAAGCTTGTAGACAAAATTTAGTTTATAAAATAATTTCTAATAATAAAAATGTAAATACAATATATGAAAATTTTTCAGCTTGGTGCAGAACTTGTAGTCAGAGGAAAATGCATAGCCCTAAATACTAGCATCAGTGAAAAAGAAAAAGACCAACATAATAAATTGAACATAGAAAGGAAACAAAGTAAAAACATAAGAGACATAAGAAAAAGGACAAATTAAACCAAAGGTTGTCTCTATGAAAAGTTAATAAATTCTGTTAATTACTTAACAAAATAAAAAAAGAATTATGCAAGAGAATATTTTATCTACTTCACTTAAGAGTTCTTTTTTAGAACTATAATAAAAACCATTCCCCACTCCCATTCCCTACTTACCTTCTTGAAGACCAGGATGGATCACTTGTTTATGCCTCAAGGACTTCAAATCTTCTAACAACTCCTGTTCCAGCTGGCAAATCCTTGCTCTTCGACCTGCTCAGAAAGTAGAGATGTAATAGAGTAAAATCTATGTCACATACTTCAACATTTCAAAAATTATGATACTGTCACTTTAGAGTACTCCCTCAACTGACAGATTACAATCTCACTACAGCTTAGCAGATAAACTTTTGAGGTTGTGGTAGACAAATAATTTATCACGCTAAAGCCAAACCAGTTATAGAACCTCTTCAAACTTAGCTAAACTAACCCTCTGAACACAGTCAATCACTGGGCCTGTGCTTAGCTTACCAGGCAAGAATCAAACCCCAGATCTAAGTAAAGAAATATTCTGAATGAGCAGGGCAAATTCTAGGATAATTTTTATTTCAGTGCTAATCAAGAGCTCTGCTAGGTCCTTACAGCTGGGGAGATGCTGCATAAATGTACACCATGCAATAAAGAAAATCCTACATTATCAGTACTTAGAGACCTGGACTTGGAGTCTGGGGTCCCTTAACCTCTGCTTCAATTTCCTCATCTGTAAGATGGGAATAACAATGGCATCTACACCTCCCTGAATTATTGTATAAAATAGGATAATTTTAAAGTGCTTAATACAGTGCTTGGCACATAGCAGCAGGTGTTTAATAAATATTTGTTATCTATAATCTATCTACCTCCACAGTCAAATCATACCAGTATTTCTGAATTTTATGCTATGTAGAATACCTGGATCACTTGTGGCAGAATCCTGAAGATTGGTGGGTTCTTCAACTGCTCTATCAACTGTGTGAATGTCCAGAGCTTCCTAAATACAAGATTTCAAAGCAACAGTGAGAGCTTAAAAGTGAAGTAGGTGGGTTACATGTAATATCAAACTCATAGTTAACTGACCAATTATTATGTCATAACACTATTATAAATATATATTTTTAAATATGCTTCAATTTTTTGTGGGCAATAAAGTTGGGATCCATATTACAGTAGCCATTTCAACACCATGATGCAGTGGGAACAAGACAAAACAGTGAGAGGATTCAATATCATAGTGGTCAACAAGATAACAGAGCTGATGATCAGATAGGAGAAGGATTATGAAGGGAGCCAAAAGGAGAAGCCAGAGAAGAAAATCACTTTGGTTACACTACTGTGCAAAATCAGCTTTATATAAATCAGTTATAGAGAGTAACTTTGATTACAGAGAAAATCTCTGGTTCTCAAAAGGGGCATGGCCTTATCATCTTTGAAAACACTCACTTTTAATAGTTTATGAAAGTCTTTACAGATTTAATGCCAATAAATTAAATAGTATGAATTCTACTTCCAATTAAAGCAAAAATCATACATATTGATTTAACCTGGATTTATCTTCGAAGTTCTTATGATGAAATTTCCAAGCAGGATAGTAATAGGTGCTAATGTTTTAAAAATGTATACTTCAGAAGGACTCCTGTGGTTTCAGTGATAAGAACTATGATTTCTAGGTACATTACCAATATAGAGTTAAAGCAAATTATTATAATTATTCCTATACGACCTAAAAAAATGCTAAAAGTAATAAATTTACCTTTGATGCAAAGGAAACAAAAAGGACACCATCTACATCTTCGAGATCAGGCTTCACATCTGGAAAGGCACTCGAAGGTCCCACAGGTGCAGTTTTGTTGGCTGTTATAGATTTTCCTGTACTTTTAGGTGGTCTCCCTGCCTTGGAGAGTTTAAATTTTCTGGGCCTTCCTCTCTTTCCGGGAACACTTGGAGTGACATTCTGAGTAGTACTGGAGGCTTTTGGAGCCCCTGTAATTTTTAACACAGTTGTTCTCTTTCTGCCCAAGTCATCTTTTTCTGAAAAAAAATCACCATCTAAGCTTCTAGGATTAGTGTTAAGTGTCTTTGATGTGCTGTTTTCACCCAAATCAGAATATTTCCAATCAGGATCTTTAAGGCAGGAGTATTTCTGTGGTGCTCTGAGCTCTGGTGGTTGTTTCCTAAGTTCTTTTTCTATTTCTCTGGATAAGCAGAAGCTAGCTTTCCTGGAATTCTCCATATATGCAGGCATATAGTCTAATTCAGTCAATACAGGAGACTTCTCTTTCCGACTTTGAGAAAACATATTTTCAGGTAGCTCAGAGATCTTTACTGTGCTTTTAGTTACAGTACAAGGTTCTAGATAGACCACTGGCATCTTGCCACTATCTAGTTTTAACATTTTGGCTTTAGCAACACCCGATGGGCTACTGAGTGGCCGTTTGGCAGAATGGTCAACATCTGAGTCATCTATTTCTCCATGGCGCCTTAGCTGTTTCTCCAGTATGGGCTCATCATCGCTGTTTGAATACACATCAGTTTCTTCATCAGTATCTTCTTGCTTTACTGTAACTCCTTCAGGGCACATACCAAGTTCATAGTCATATTCATCTAGGGGTTCTTCTTTAATGACCACATTAAAGTTTTCATTTGGGTCTAATGGTGATGCTACATGAGAGTTGTCTTCAAAACTACTGGCAACAGGACTGGAGGGGAAAGGGAAAAAAAGCTATAATTGTATACAAGCAATATAAAAACAACTTAAGATACTGCTAGAGACAAAGTACCTTTTCACATCCATTCTTAAAATAATAAGCTGAACTGTGTAATGAAGGTTCTGTGAAGTACTCTATCAACTACATGATATCCATTAAAGAACAAAGTTTTTAAATAAATCAATCTTGCTCTCCCCCAAGTAGAGAAATAGACTGCTGATAGCTCATTTATTTTCCTAATGATGCTTTAACTGGTCTCAAAACTGGAAGAAAGATGACTCTCAACCACTTCAAAACCTAGAAAGCAATTATCTGCTTATCAGCAGTGAAAAGCAAACCGACTTTCAACACATCTAAGAATAATGACAAACATCAGGAAGTGCCTTAAATATACCAGCTAATTTTATACATTTAAAATAAATGCATAATGCTACATAAATGATGTCACTAGATGGCCTTGGTTTAAAGTTTCCTCAGCTACAAAACAGGGGTAATAAAAGCATCAACCTCAGAGTGTTGTTTTGAGGATCAAATGAGATAATATATATGAAGTGTTTTGCAAACTTTAAAGCACTATATAAATGCTATTATTATTTCATATGAACCTTGTTCACATTTACATAATTTACAAAGCATTTTCTTAGAAGATGAGGTCAATACAAATAGTACAAGTATCATCCCCATTTTACAGATGGAAACTAAGGCTTAAAAAGGCAAGGAAAACTTTTGACCATAGTCAAAAGCTAAAAGTGTAGCATCAAGCACAGGGATTCTGACTTCAACTCCAATTCTTTTTCCTAGATTTGTGGAACATTATAAGTGATATCATACTGTTGTTTATTCGTTCAATCATATCCTACTCTTCCTGACTTGATGGATCATAGCACGCCAAATATCATACTACCTCCTCTCATAGTTACATAAAAGATCTGAGGTTTCACACTAAAATAGTGCAGCTGAAATTAGATTTTTCAAATCAGGCACACTGCCTAACTCACCAAGCTGGTCTTAGAATAACACATTTCAAAATCAGAACCTACCACAAAGTTATTTCTTAGCTGCACCTTTCTCAAAATTCGTATCAGTGACAGAAAGCCAACAAAGGCCAGTTAAAAGTGGGCTTTTCTCTTAAAGCTGTGAGAGGGGAAAAAAGAACTTTAGAAGTAGTTTTTATTAACAGCTAACAGCTTCCACTATTTTCTCCTGATTCAAATAAGCAAATTTTTTTTTATAATTTCTAAGATACTCTTTTATGAAAAGTTTAAAAAAGAGAATTCTTTGTAATGCCTCTCTCTGGAGTATACAGACTCATTTTCTTTCCACTAGAGCTCCCCACATTAAAAACAGTGGACCTTCTAAAGGTCACCTAGTACAAAACATGAATAACTAAGACTTCCCTATACAATATCTGACATTTGGGCACCCAGCCTTTGCTTGAAGACCTCAAAGACGCCAGTACTTGCTTTCTCCTAAAGCATTTTTTTTTCCTATATCAAATCTAAATGTATTTCTTCACAAATTCTGCTTGTTGTTCCTAGTTTTTCCCTCTGGGACAAAGCAGAACAAGTCTAGATTTGGCTCAATATTCTAGACCACATATTGTTATCACGCACTCCTTTGACAGTCTAGTAAGAAGTCTATGGATCCCTTCTCAGAATAATGTTTTTAAATATGTAAGATAAAATATAGATAATTATAAAAGAAATCAATTATATCTAACTACAGTTATTAAAAAATAAACTTAAGTTCATGGACCTTTCGTTAAGACCCCTTGTTCTGGACAACCAAGATTTTTTAGATCCTTCACTGACATCCATCATCATGTTAGTTAATTAACCTATATTTATGATACTTGTAAACTTGACAAGCATACTACAGAACCACAGATTTAGAGGTTAAAAAACCCGATAGTGCTCATGTAGTCCAATCTCTATATTTTAGGAATGAGGAAATTGAAGCACAGAGTAGTTAAGTGATCTGCTCAAAGTCACAAAGATAATAGATAAGGGGCAGAACTGAGATGTGAAACCAGGTTACCTTTATCATTCTAGCACTGATTTTTTAAAAATTCAATGGAATATGGCCAAGACCATGTCCCTAACCATTAATGACTAACTGGGAAAAAGAAGCACCTGTAGTTGCTCAAGAAGGAAGACCAAGGACCCAAACTGGATCATTGAGAAAAGAGATCGAGTGGAATAAGCTGATTTTTTTTCAGTGTGTATCTTTATTGTTCCTTGCCAGAGATCTTATTTTAGAGATATGGCTTATATCCAGATCAACAGCATACATGCATACATACATAAGGAAGGGTAAAAATATTAAGCCATACTGAATGTTAAACTATACTGAAGGGTTATCAAACTCTATAATCTTTTAAAAGCAGTTATTACCCTACATTTCCAAGTTTCCAAAAGAAAAGAAAGAAAAAAGGAAAGGAAAAAAAGAATAGAAAAGGAAAAGGAAAAAAAAGACCTAAAACTTGGTATGTCTTTCATACCTCTGGAAGCATGAAAGGGGAATCTGGGTCAGAATTTAGAGAGAAAAGTAGAGATAAAAGTCAAAATAATGGGGGCAGACCTAGAATCAGAGTATAGTGATAGTGAACAACTCTCACCCACTTGGGATTAGTTTCTTAAATTTTCTATAAAAGATGAGGGTAGTGGACGTAAAGAATGTCTTAAAATCTTCAACTGCTAATTAGTGCTCCTAGCTTATGGGAAATAAGTTGGCATCAATTCAGCAAATGTAAAGCATAATTAAGCACTTTTCCTATTACTAACATACTGAAGTTCTAGTATTCAAAAGTTTTCTGATTACTCACATAAGAACAAATAACTCACATAAAAACAAGTGTAGCTCTGTTACACAGGTGTAGTTTACAGGGAGTTGAAAGCAGAAGTAAAACTATGTACACAAAGACTACAGCAACATAAATGAAAATAATGCTGAAAGGCAGCTGAATTTTAATTAATTGTAAAAAACCAATTTTTGTCCCAAGGAACATTTGAGGAAACATTTCCCATCTCTTGACACAGGAGTGAGGCACTATATGCTGCTGCAGAAGCTGCGAGAGTCACTTGATTGGTTGGTTTTACTTATTTTGGAAACAGACTGTAATGGTAAATCAAAGGGCAACAATAAAACTTCCCAACAACAAAAAGTGCTTAACTAACATAAATTTTTGCTTAACTGACATAAATAACTCGTCTTCAATTTATTGCCAAGGTGAAACTAACACATGTCAAAGAAAAGCCCTGAATTAAATTCTCAGTCTAGCCCTGCATTATGCATCCCCAGGACTACAAGTTCACAAATGCCATCTTTCACTGAGACAAAAAAGGTGGAAACCTGAGTGACTTTTACAGAGATGGTGGGCAGGACGAAGAGAAAAAAGAAAAGGGGTAGAAGATGAAAGGATTATTGAAAGTCACTAGCACCAAAGATAAAAGGATGCAAAACGAAGTTCCTGTCTAACATTTTTCAAAGACAAATGTGTCTTCGCCATCTCTCTGCTCTTGCTTGAAGGCCATGGCAATTTTCTTGTTTCCTAATGGAAAGAACACTGGATTTGGAGTCAGAGGATCTAGATTCAAATCCTAAGTCCATTATTTTCTACCTGTGTGACCCTAAGCAAGTCACTAAATGGAGCCAAAGATCCCTTACTGCTCTAAATCTATTATTCTATGATTTTACCTCTCTAGACCTCAGTTTGCTCTTCCAGTTAATATTAGATGACCTCTATATAGACATCTATTTCCCCTCAAAATATTGTGATCTATCTTTCCTACCTAATAATTTCAATTTTGTTAGAATATTTTAGTGGTATCCTATTTCTTAAAATTCAGAATTCACATTCATGGGCATTCCATCATCTCCAAATCGCTAGATCTAACTTCTAGTATGGGGGGGCATGATTTCTATTTTATTCAATTTTCACCAGGCCCTGAATTTTTACATTCTAGTAGGACATATAAAGCATTATGCTTGCAAAGAAAATATACCTTTAATGAAGGGACAGTGAGACCATGTTCCAAAATTCTGATCCTTTGCTTACAAAAGAAAGATACTTGTTTATTATCCTGATTTGGCCATGAAAGCTAATTTTGTTTATAGCAGGTGATCAACAGCATATAAGCCATGCACCTAGATACTCACATGAAGCTAGATATTCAGTCCTCAAAATCAATTTAACATCAAAGCCTTAATCAGTCCTTTGGACAGAAATGGATTATATAAACACAGTGATTCTATATATTGGCTAGGTGTCTTAGAAATCTGATCAAGAGGGCTGGGAAGGACAAAATTCTACATAGATAGGCAGATACAGAGGTGGCTGGTGTGGGTGTGTGGGTGTGATTTTACACACATACTCACATGGGAGCAGGACAGAATAGAAAGAAATGCTAGATTTAGAGTCAAAGAACCTAAGTTTGTATCCCTTTAGACAAGTTACTCAACCTATCTGACTCTCAGTTTCCTCATCTGTAAAATGCAGTGATTGGGCTAGATGGCCCTGTATCCTAAGACAGAAAACAGACAAAGCAATTAAAACAAATGAAGAGGAAAAACACTAATTAAAGGTCCAGAAGTCCACAGGAAATGAAATCCAAGGAGGAAGCTAGCCATAAAACTCTCAGTCTCCTATAAACAAATATAAAAAGTACAAGTAAGAAACAGAATGAACTAGCAATCCTGATTCAGAGAGAAAATCAATTTTATATTGACACTGACACTTGATGGAATGGGACTCATGATTAGAATGAAATATATAGCTATTTGTAATGTATAGCTTATTTTAAAAAATGAACAGATTTTTTTTTTGGTAAGGCAATCCGGGTTAAGTGACTTGCCCAGGGTCACACAGCTAGTAAGTGTTAAGTGTGTGAAGCTGCATTTGAACTCAGGTCCTCCTGACTCTAAGGCCACAGCTCTATTCACTGCACCACCTAGCCAAACAGATTTTTAAAAAGATAAGTGGCACTGTGTAT